TTCAAAAGCCCTACCCCTTTCCAAGTCCATCAGCCTGAATGATCTGACGCCAATTTTCTCTACCGACTGATGAGGAGAGGCAAGCAGTACTTAGTACTGGTTATAAACAAGGGGCTTTACTTGTTTGCCTTAGACACATGTATATTAGCTCCCCCTGCCCCTTAACTCTCTAATTTGTGGTGCAAGGCATTAGGTTTTGGCAGCCCCTGAGAATCCCAGTCCATGGACAACATGTACATTTTTCCACCACTGGTTACAGACTGAAGAACAGGGGCAATTTGCTTTCAGTATGTTGCTCACACCCATCCCTGACATTTTCCATCCTATCATTACACACCCTGACAAGCCTGCTTATTTAAACACTTGGTGGATCCTAAAACTATTTAAAACATCTGGGGATTTGGTAAGCATGAGAAGGACTTTAAGCTTTTGTGATACAGGCACAATTCGTATTTGGGCAGAAGGGGACCAAAGCCCATCGCGTCTCACATGTGAAATCACAGCACTCTCCCGCAGTCTCAGGAGAGGAACCTTCTTATCTTTTGCAGTGTCCTCCAGATCTATTTAATTCTTTTCCTCCCATATAGTTTTCCCTTAGGATCCCTTTTTAACACAAAACGGCTGTGTATCCACCTCCATCTTTTGCACAAGGGAAACAGGAGGCTCTCAGTTGCCTTGGATGAGATATTCAAAATTCTGGAGGCTTATCTGTCAGGTGGCAGGGCTTACACGCTACCTCTGTGGGACAGAGACACTGCCAGCCGAGGAGCAATCAGCAGCCTCAAACGGCACTCTTTCTAAAACGTGGTTAATATTTCCATCTGCTATCGGGAGCTTTTATTGCATGCAAAATTAGAATTTAAAGAGGTATATGGAATTTCATCTACATATAACATTTGCAGACAGCTTTCATCTATGTTTCTTGTTGAAAGGAAGTTGCTACTGGGTGCGCATGCCATGCCACATAAATACTTCAGCATCTTCTGCAAACATATTTATGGTTATGTTCTTCCATCTGCCACAGAAAAGTTAAGACTACAGAAGAGTGATTTAACAAGAATGGAAAGAGTCTGTCTTAGTTACTTTTCTTCTAGTTTGTGTTTAAATGCATGCACGGAGCTATAAATTATTTAAGCCCTGTACTCCTGTTCTCGCCAGTCATCTTTGCTTTACAGTGAACAGCAATGAGACATTCATCTGGCCCCAGAGAGATTGAAACAACAACAGCCCACAGGTATGAAGACCAGGAAAATGGAAGTGACCGCATGAGGTGTACTGGGATGTTTTCCATTAAGGAGGACCTTAGTTTACACTGATTAGATGCAATGACATCCTTTCCTAGCTGTGCTAATGCCACTGGAGAGTGAATACCGCACTGCCAAGGTTCATCACAGTATCTCTCTATCAGAGGACGAGGATGGACAGACAATCTGCTTATCCATCTAAGAAACACATACTTTTGGCTAGGGATGGGAAGGAAACATTCCTTGTGCCAGACACTTCCCAAACTTTACATTTTGTTGGTGGAATGGTGCCTGTTGCCAGTTGTAAATGTGAGCATATCCTTCTAATTAAAATGACAAAATTTTTTTGAAAAATAAAACTACCTTGTCCACACTCAATAGCTGACTGGCTGGCAAATGTCTTAAAGCATTTTATAGTTCAAGTGATATCAGATTAAAGCCAGGCCAAGCAACTGATGACAGATGATGAAATACACTAGACAAATTGAAGGGTTCTGAACAAAATCTATCCACACACTGACGCTTTTGAGAAACCACTAAGATAAATCATAATTTCTTCACACCTTCAGACCATCCCAAAACACTACAGACTGCTGCACACAGGGCAGCTACTGAATAAGCGCTACAAAGTTAAGCTGTGGTAATCAGAAAAACCCTATGAGTAGCTCTACAAGGAAACTTTTGAACCTTCAAGTGCTGGCAGCGACTCAAGAAAACCACCAGATAATCCTGCATAGAAGAAAAACAGTGCATGAACTACAGTAAAACTTCTGCAGCCAAACTATAAATCGCTTCCCCTCCGCATTGCTCCTGCTACTCAGTGGTATATAGTCGCTGAAGCAGCTGATCACGGGACTCCCCAGGTCAACGCACAACTCTGCGTCATCTTCATCTCCACCCTGCTCTGAACAAGACACTGTGCTCACCTGATGGCTTCCTGTTGACTTTGTGTATTGGAAGGATTATTTGCAGTTCTTGCTGATGTTCAACCCATTCAGCCAGCGCACCCTCTCCTAGTAATGGTTCCTCAAACAGCAATCTCTGTGTTTCTGCCGAGGGCACAACAGCAGGGACTACGGCAGCAGATAATAGGTGTTTACTCCTGGACATCCAACGTTCAGACTTGCACTTTACATCCTAAGAGAGAATTAGGTGGCACCTGCCAGAATACCAATTGCACACAACGAGCAGCACTGACACAACTCGGACTTTGAACTGTGGTTGGCAGTGCTGGTGGGACCCTTGGGAGTACTGGTCGGGTACGGTGCCTTCTCACACACGCACTGCCTGCTTGTGCAGCGTGTTTTGCTCCCACTCTGTGGTGCAGCAGATTAAATTAACCAGACAAACAAACCCCTTGGCTGTCAGATGAGTTTGGCCTTTGATTTCATGTCCAGGCTGTAATGCTGACAAAGACGACAGATGGACGCAAGAGGTAAACTGGGGAGAGCTAAAAGACTTTGAGAAATGGTTTTGTTTGTGCCTAGGAGGCATCCCCTCCGCATCAGAGGAGGAATGGCCAAAGGGCAGTGGCATAGTAGACCTACTATCCTGCTTGCAGAGCAAACTAAACACCTTCCCAGACTGCTCCATTCACACGGCCACACAAAGCAGTGTTTTCTCCTCATTACTCTTACAGATTATTTAACTAAAAAGCTTCAGAGTGGTAAGGCTGCTTCATATGAATTTGTCAGGAAGAACCAAATAATGTGCACAATAACTGAAATAAGCCAGGAAATGAACCTTTCTCTCCACCACTCCCCCACGTCCCTTTCACACGAACAAAAAAAACACCAGTTGCCTCTCCAGAAGGCATCAGCTAATTAATTTCATTTCCCAGCTCTTGTTTTATCAAAACAAGTATATTCAGCAGGGGCTGCTTGAACAAAGAAGTGACAGCGGGAAATTGCCCGTGTGGTCCTAATGCAGATGTGAATCAGCAGAAGTAGGAGACACATGGATGCGAAAAGGAGGTTTTTTCATTTCTTTTTCTTTTGCATATGGTCAGATAACACATGAAAAGTGTCCTTCCACTTATACCTACTTATCATCATATAAACATTTTCATTTATTCTAACATACACACATGCACATACGTACTCCTAAATTGGAAAAGCAGCCATGAAGCCATTTAGAAAAATCATGAAACTCCCAGCCCATCAAATGTCCATTCCTCACTGGAATCTCAGCCACCAGAAGAAATAAATCTGCGAAATGGAATACTGCTGAGGTGATTTGTGGCTCCCTTCTAAATGGTCCCTTCAAGCAGACTCCCCATCCATTTGAGAACAGCAACAAATTCTGGCCTTGGCAGCAATTTGGCTGCTTCCAACCAAAGTAGAAAATGGGTAATGCAGACTAGGGGGGGCTTCCAGCGCACTTACAAACACACAGAACAGAGCTGCACACTGTGAAACTTCTTGCAGGAAACCTCACGAACACACTGTAGTGCCACAGCCAGCGGCGAAGACAGATCCTTCCTCCCTCACCCTCCAGCCCTGCCTCTCCTACTTGGTCCTTCACTGCTCGCTGTGCCTCCTTCCTTTCCCCTCCCATTTTTAATCCTTCACCACGCAGCGCTCCTGCTCCTGAATGAAGCCCAGGAGAGCCCGAGCTGATCATCTGTTATGTTTTCTTTGGAAGGAGTTTGACCGTCCAAAGGGATTCCCTGATGAGCATGATGCTGCCACCATCACCAGTAATTTTGTTTCTAGCCAGCTCTCATACACCAGGGGACTGCAAATGCACACAGTCACTCAGACAAGGCTGCCATGTCTCCTGTCACCAGGCTCACTGGGGACAACCCTGTCCCAAGAACTACCCATATTACAAATGATCACTCTAAATACATAATGTGCATTGCCCTAATCCCTTTTGTCTGAGCCGCAGCCTCTCTAGACCAGGATAATGCATTTCAACTTTCAAACAAACACTTGGTAAGCCGCATGCTTGCGGGGTGTGTGTTTATAGATATTTAATGGTCTTTTTCTTACAGTCAAGGTGCTATAGCACTTATGAAACGCACCACAGTTTTGGTGAGGAGAGAAGAGGGAGAAAAATAATGATACGCTAAATACAAGACGAAACACTGTTAAACTGCATGCAATTATCAAAATACACTAAAAAAAAGATCAAGTTTTATTAAATACCTTTTACTATTTAAAAATAACGTTTAAATGTGTCTGTGATAAATCTGAGCTTTAGCTGCCTGTAATGACCACTGTTTTATAGCTCCAAGGAACTTACACATTATGAGATGTGTATTTTTATACATGTTTTTATTAATGGTCATCCAAAATCTCAGCACATCCGAAAGCTTCAGCATCATTCACAGAACTGCAACACTAGCAAACACGTTCAGCTACGATACTATTTGTACTGTCTGATGAAAGAAGGCCTCGAATAACATTTGTTTAGTCAAGGACAAAGAGTCCTGTGGAGCCTGCAGGTGGATGTAGAGAAAGACAAAGTCAGGTAACACTTCAGGCCTGCAAAGCCATAGGGTCCCTTCAACCGAAGGGTTGTTGGGAAGAAACGCAGGTGAAAACCAAGCTGTTCTGCAGTCTGGGTTGCACTTAGAGGGCTGCCTTCTATGCCCAACATACTTCACAAATAATCATCACACAGTTAGGGAAACAAGTCCTGGGGTTCAAGTAGGGCTTTACCAAATACCTCTTGTTTCTCAAACAACCATGAAAGAAGGCATTGATATGGAAGGTTGGTCTCAGGCAGAGATGCTGTTCCTGTGGGTGAGTCTTAGTCATCAAAGTCGATTCTGATGGGGCCGCCTGTCAGGATGCGGTTTGCCATGTGACCAGATTGCTCCTCCTCCTTCTCCATCGCAGCCGTTCTGCGCACCCGTCTCCGGCAGCCCTGGGCGCAGCGAGAGCTCTCGTCTAGTGCCCCGCACACGAGGATGCGGCAATGCAAGAACACCTCCTGGAGGGTGGCAAGACAGCAGGGCAAGTCAAGGTGCAGGTCTGGGAATCAGACTGGCCATGCTGCTAGCTCTCAGAAAGCGTGAACGACACAATTCCCACAGTACAGCCATTTCTGTCCCCGCATCAACAAGGTCCTTATCCACCATCGCCATCCACAGCCAAACTGGCTGCTCCATCTGTTTTCTTATGTGCCCAGGAGAGGGCACGTTTCCCAGAGTGCCCGGCTGAGATCTCAGAGCATGGCGTTTGTCTGTTAGCCAAGGGCTGGACAGGGAATATGAAGGCATGAAATGATCCTCCAGAGGAAGGGATGAAAATGCCACAAATAAGCTTGGAAGAGGTCACATGGACTGGTAGGAAGCAGGCCAAGAATGCAAGAAGCCTCACAAGGAGATGGACTGATAGGAACGTGCAAGAGAATTTGATGTGAGCTGAGAAAACACAAAGCTAGGAGACCGAGGGGCAAAGGAGGAAACTGCAAGTTGATGAGGGGCTAAGACTGGTTGTTGAGGAGAGAAGGAGGACACAAAGGGAAGGGAGACAGCTGCCTTTTCTTTCTGCACAGTGAAGGCAGACAGTGACAGGATTGCAGCTCCCTGCCCTCTAAATGACAAGGAGATCAAGCAAGATCCCTGCAAGCAGCAATTAGGGAAGCAAATATTTGTGAATGTTTGGTCAATGGTGAGGTTTGAAGCAAAATCCATTGCACAGACCAGGAGGATGCAGGTTAGAGGCAGCAGTGGCAATCAGACAGCCAAGAGAAACTTCTGAATTTTGAAAGATCTCATCTGTTTTAACCCTACTGAGGCTCTCCAGGAGCTGGAGAGGCAGCTTTATAGTTTTTGGAGCAAGCAGCATTGGCTGAGCATAACAACAGTGACTGAAAGACCTGATTTCTTTTAGCACAGAAAAGGAAAGCTATCTGCATTAGGAAAATGGCGTTATCCTTCAACTGTCTTCCCATTACAAAGCTTCTGCCCCAGAGTGCCACCAGCCTGGACAGCCTGGTTTCACATCGAATTAAGCAGTGTGGTGTATGTGGAAACCTGGTATCTGTACTCACAAGAGCTAGAGAAGACAGAAGGTTGAAGAGCTTCAAAACCATAGACTGTCTTGTTTTAAAATAGGACACTACATAATGTGCCTAACTCCCCGGGTTTCTGTTTGGTGACTGGGAAAACTTTTCTCGTCCAGCATACAAGGGACCCCTATATATATATACAAGGGTCCCCCAAGACTACCCTGGAAACAACAACAATTTTAACCTGCTATAGACACAACTGCTGGAATAGGCACAGCAGCATCTGCCTTGAGCCAGCCATTCCTCCCTTTTGTGCTATAAGACAGCCAACTCTGTGCTGAGACTCTTCAGTCACATCAGGGCTGATGCAATATCCAAGAGGTGGGTTTTGAGCTTACCTTGTTGTCTTTGCCCACAAACTTGAACACAGGAACCTGGAAATGCTTGGCAAGATGGTCCTTTGACGTGTACTGTTTCACCGAATCATCAGAAACGCAGCTGAGGAAAGCAGAGGGATGGGCTTTAATGGGTTTCCCAGAAATGGAAAAAGAAAGAGAAAAAACATCCCACCCTATTTAACCAGAGAAAGGAAAGGAAGGCTTGGCTGTCTACAGCTAGGCTACCATCCTTGTTACTTCCTGTTTGGCCACAGGAGAAAATTCGGGAATGATGGGGAAAAACACCAGCGATGATAATAGCATCTCCAGACAACGAACAGCTCAGCAGCACAGAGCTGGCAGGACGTGGTCCAGTCCCCTCAGCAGAGGGACTGCCAGAGAGCTGCAGGCAAGTTTGTCCTCATTTCACCTTCCTGAGCAACAGTCTGCAGTGATCAACAGAACTGTTATACGGTATGTAATGTATTATGTACTTTCTGTATACACATATATATGCACATAAATCACACTTAAAATGAATAAGTTGCTACCCAAATTACTAAAATATCACCGATGATATTTTTTAAAAAAATCAAGATCTACTTTGCTTTACATCATCTACATTTTTCTTCCTGCTCGACTTGATCAGACAGCTCAAATTCACTACAGCTAAAAATCACAATTTAAATTTTTCCATCACTAGCACTATATAGTCATGTGAAAGGTCACAGAACTGCAAGAAATAAACAACTTTTATAAAAAGTTACATTTCAGGTGCAGTCTATTTATAAACTATTACAGCCTATTTAGAGTTTGACAGAGAAACAGCAAGACAAAAATTTCGGGTGACCTGATATTTTCTGCTGCCTATTGCAAAGCCTGAGGCATTTTGAGAGGCACAGATGCTGCTTTTATATTGCGTTACAATGCAGCTTGTCCTGCTTAACAAGTTGATTCCAGAAACGTGGACTTTGCAAGATATTAAAAAAATAAAAGTGGTGGTGGAAGAGATAAGAGGTAACAGTGTGACAGCTGAAAGTCCTACTCTCGCAGCTACCTTTCGCTTCCATCTTTACACCAGAAATATGCAATGCATTGTCAGAAATGCCGACGTTTGACATATTGGATTATCAAACAGCAGCAAACCCCACATCTATATGTAGCTCTGCTTTCACTAGAATGCGTGTTTGGAAATCTCTATGCTGCTCAGCTGACTTGGCTCCGTGGGCGGCAGCCTACTGCAATCCCTCCCAGAATCGCCCTTCTGCAACGTACAGTAGAGCAGTGTATGTTCATGGCAGCCCTAAGCATTGGTCTGATCCTAGCATTATTTTCACCACCACGTATTTCTGTAGCTTTTCTCAGCCAGGGGAGGTCACGGTCTGAAGGGATATTCCTGTCTGCAGCGCTGGTCTAGTTAACCTGCCTGGGGGGCAAACATAAAATGCCATCCAAGGGGAGCTAATAAATTAACATTGTGCCTCTAGAAAAATTGACACAGATTCCTCCCCCTTGAGGCCAAACACTAGATGTTACTAAGTCGTTTAAGATAAAAACTGCTTTTAAAAGTAGCATTCCTGAAGGCATCTGATTGTAAAGAATGACAGTTAAAGACTTTTCATAAGTGACTAGACAAGCTTTGGGGCCATAAAGTGCCAACTCCTAGTCATGTCCTTATTTGTGAGCATATGAACAGTGATGATTCTTGGACACTGGCTCAAACTGACTCCTAAATCGCAGGTTTTCCAAAGGTTCACCACACTGGTGGCAGGAAACCTACTGGTTTGTGTATAGAGAGAGGGAAAAATCAAAGAACAAGGAGGAACCAAGGACACAATGAGCCCCTGCCATGCCCCTAAAGTGTTTCTTATGGAGGGTTCCAACAAATGCATTGCGGCACGACAAAAAGAGCTCAGAAACCTTCTAAGTCACAGGGTCAAACACTTCAGCGTTGTGGGGGGAGCCATACCATGTCCCACCCCCCTAGGAAACCCCCAGACCCCGCTTCTCACCTGGGAGAGGTGAGAAGGGGCAGGGAGCACAGGTATGGAAGGATAATGAGCGACCCTGGCCAGGATACAGGGAAAATAACCCTTTTCCTGTGCAGAATGTGCTTAGGTTAGGGGAGCAGAGAGTGGCTGTGCCATAGGAGCTGTGCTCTGACCCTCTTATTGGGGGGGTTGCAAGGTAGAAAGGAGGGCTTGGAGAACCAAATAACCACCTCAGCCTGCAAATGAGGGGCAGCCTGAGGAGTAACAAGATGAGCCTTGCGATGGAACTGCCTTAACCTCATCACGCTCAGGCAAATCGCAGCTCTTGACCACCTCAGATTACAACGGATTGCCCTCAGTGACATGACCTCGGTCCGGATGCCCCAGAGAGCTGCAATATTTATCGCCTGTGCAATCAGTCAATGCTTTTTATTTATTTTTGTTTTGAGAAAGAGGAAGAACAAGATCAGAAGCAGGAGAGCTGCTTTGAGGTTGGCTGGCTGGGCTAGCAGCAGTACAGGGTACCACAGAGACAGCGGGGAAGGATCTGGGAAAATCCTGATTTCCAGCTCTCACACGAGCATAGGGAGAGGGTTGAGGAGTCCCACAGAAGGTGGCTCCCACCTCTTGCCAAGTGGAGACAGCTGGGAATTCACAGGGAAGAAAGCAGGAGAGAGAATTTTCCTATCCCTCAGTCTAAGGTATATTCCCTCAAATTTAAACGGTGTTTCCCTTTTGGAAGCAGCAGTTAACTCCTGCAGGTCTGGTCCTACACAATCAAACTGATTTAAAAATCCCATCTTTATTGCCTTGGGCTTTTGGGGCTGGGTTGATGGAAGGAAACTGGGTTATTACAGAACTGTTTGGAGCAGGGACACATCAGCAGCGTATTCAGCTAATTTTACTTTTTAATTGCTGCAAGCACACCAAGAGACAAATAACTGCAGTTAGCTAAACAGCACACCATTAGCCTTTGGTCTAAGTGAGCTGTTCAATTTAAATACAGCACAGCGCAGAGTCTGCCATAACTGCAGTTAGCTAAACAGCACACCATTAGCCTTTGGTCTAAGTGAGCGGTTCAATTTAAATACAGCACAGCGCAGAGTCTGCCATGTCTGGGGACACTGGGGCCTGCAGTGAGGGCTGGAAAGCAGAGCAGGCTGGATGAGGCTCCAGCCCACTTTTCCCTTCGGTGAAGTTTTAATGCCCTCTGCAGGATAACAGTACCAAAGGGGCTGCTGGTGCCTTAAGTCCTTCAAATAGCTCTGTGGTGAATTCAAGAGATGACATTTTTCTGCCTTCTCCCTTCTCGATTCGGCTCAGGTTTTGGCCACTGTTTTGAATCCCATCATTTTCACTCATGGTGAGAAATGAAGGAATGTTTGGAGCCTTGACTCTGTGAAGGGGAGTCAATAAATCAATCCTTCCATACAAATCCGCTTATAAACCCCAGAAATGTCAGGCACAGAAGGACTGCAGCCTAGGATGGAGGGAGGGCAAGCTAATGCTGAGACCTTTGTCAGAAGGAAATGAAAGCAGTGTTTTTATGTACTGTACTCTGCAGGACCCTTTTGCTACAAGACAATCACACAGGACTTGTCATCACCAGCTGTAACAGTGGATGATTTAGCCTGGCAGCTGAGGAAATAATTGTTGTCCTCATTAGATGGTTTGGCAGACAGAATACAGGACTTATACAAGCACAGTCCCTTGACTGTCGGGCCATGACACTTGGGTATGTCTTAGATATTACTTTGGCTGGACTTTCCTCCCTAGAGGACAGCAGACGAGTTCCCAACTGTGATGTTTCCACAGCGTTGTCTGGTTAAGCTGCCAGGCACTGCTGGGTGCAAACACTCCACAGCAACATTGCACCGTGGCACTATCCATGTTAGCACCCAAAAAAGTATCTGAAAATAGGGGTCACCATAGGAGCCACAGCAGACGCCACAAAAATGCTCCCCAAACCTCTGACAGAAAACTTGTTACAGTGAACCCACAGATCCACCCTGAGTTTTTTACTAGCATATCCTGGAATGATCACTAAACCCAAACACCTCAGAAAATTACAGCCAAACTGAAGGACCCTAAGCTTATTGCACTGAGAGGCACCAGGGAGAGAGCAAAGCAAGGGGAGCTCCTGGAGCTCCAACCAGGACCGGCCACGGAGTCTTCTGGCTCACGCTATAATAAAAGGAAATGGGAAAATTAAGAAACTTGCTCCAGTTGCTGCGGTGGCTGCATGGCAGTGGCACATGGCCATCAGGGGGTTGTGCCAATTGGTTTGGCACTCTGCAGGCTGACAGAGAGAGGATATCAGGAAGAATATCGTTTCTACTGGAGCCAACTCAATTATCCACAAGGCTAGTTACAGCGAAATACGCCCTGTAAAGGCTGCACTTGGAGTAACCTCTTTCACTGCCTCCCAGTGTTTCTCCCAATCACTTTTGATGGGGCAGGTGGTTTCAGCTTGATGGCCTGGGTGCTGGTGATTGTGAGGAACACAGCAGACGGGCTGCTGTGGATAGTGTTTCCTGCATCACACAGGCAATGCAACTTAGCCCCGCTGTCAATTCCCATCTAATAGCCAGCAACAGAGGGAACTCACCCATCTTGAATCAGGTAGTACTTCAGGATCTCATCAATTTTTGAGGTGGGAGTGGCAAAGCAGCTCTCTACCAGTGTCTCTAGTCCATTGACGTGTACCAAGGGTTCAATCCCAAAGTACAGAGAGTCCCGAAGCTTGAGGGTGGGAAGCGCACCCCTGTAGGGTTCATCGAAGTCTTTGTCTTTGAAGATCTCAAGAGTGAAGGGAAAGATGCCCTGGTTGCGGCTCATGATTTCCAAGGGTGAGTTCTTGAGGTTGGGCACATAACCTTCGGAGATGGTATACCGGCGTGGGAACTCACAGGTCACCGGGATCAGCAGCTTGCTGGTGCGGACAATGATGTCCCCATTGCTTCCTGGAGTCTGCTTTGGTAAGCCAGTCACCAGATTGGTGGCGATGATTTTGTCATTTATTACCTGCAGCAAAAAAAGTAGTTTAAGGGAAAGGGGAGATCATTGAGAAAGACATCTCTGAGTTCAGCCTAGCAGCTGAGTTTGCCTTGTTCAGGAAACTCAGACACAAACTAACCACTGAAAGGACAGTTTGTGAAGTTATATGCTGCAACCAAAGCGATCTTCGTGCTTACCTATGATCTAAGGGGCTGTATCAGTTTGCTGTCAATTTTGATGCACTGTATTCCTGCACGAAGCAGAGGAATTTGCTTCCAATTACTACCCATCTGCTAAGATGAGCCCTCTGGTTCCTGACCAGTTGCCAGTATAACCTTTGAAACATTATCAGGGGACCAGATTTTGTCTCAACAGGAGGGTGAAGCGTCACACCACTTGCGCTTTCTGCACCAGAAGGATGATGAAGCTGCCTCTATGAAGTGCTGGGTACGCAGAAAGCAGTGCCCATGCTGACAGGCACACACCACTGGGGAGGAGATGGAACAAGCTCTCCTACTTTGGGATGCCACCCCAGGTCTAGTCTGAGGCCAGCTACACGGCAACCCTGGAACTGCTCTGTTGGTACAGCTAAATCGACTTCATTCCCCAAGTAAGCCATAGCCAAGTCCCCAAATCCGAGAGATCCCAAAAGACAAGACAGCAACGGGTATACATACATCTACAACAGTGCCGCAGGACTTCAAGGAGAAATGGATGTTGACGTGAGTGCCATTGGATACTCCTTTGCAGGAAGTGTTGATGAGGGAAAGGTCCAGGCCTCCAACCAGATCCTTTGGGATGCTCACCTCAATAGAGCTGGACTTGCACAGCACTGGCACTACAAGGAAAGTCCCCAGAATAGCCGTTTGTACTACAAAACTATCACAGAGCACAAATATATCAGGGAGGTGAGAAAGGGCTGTACACCAACTACTATTGGAAGAAAAAAAGGGCAATCATTATGCTATGTTTACGATACTATCTAACAACAGTAATCTAACTACCTGTCTTATGTTCCCATCTACACAACACAAACCTCCCAAGCTACCACTGCCCCAAGATGAAGACGACTTGCAGCAGAAACTTAGCTACGCATTATTTCCAGCTATACTTAATACTCAAGCACAGGTTTGATAGATCTCTCTTGCACTGCTATATCCTGGCAAGAGCCTTTCCCAGGTATGGATATCAAATTCAGAGCACCCCAGGCAAAGCCATTTTTTAAAGACCCTTTATCAGGTTTTACATCAAACCCAGAACATGTCAAAACAAGGCAGAGTAATTCCATATAGATGCTGAGCCAAAATGGAAGCACCTCAAAATGCAGTAATAATATTTTTATAACCAATAAACCCAGCTCTGACAAACAAACCCAATTAGCTCACTCATTCTACCTTCTAACCTTTGAATTTTAATACAGATCTCCAGGTGAACTTTTTTTAATTAAAATTTCATTACATAAGAAGTGGAGAAAGCATAGATATTGGACAAAATGAAAAAGGAAAGAAGAGGGAATAATCTTCAATAAAAAAGTAATTGCTATATATATTCCTTGGGTCTATACATATCTATTCAGTTACATACAGGACAAGCATACTGGTGCACATATTCTGGTCTCTTCTCAGCCAGAAAAACAAACACCCTCCAGAATTTCCATTTCTCATATTTTAAAATCACGTGACAAAACTTTTTGCAAATACTAGTTCCCCAAGCTTTCTCCTAAAATTAATTACAGTCCCAATCTTTGACATTCATACGATCTCCCTTCCCTTAATTTTCATCCTAATTATATAAACCAGGATTCTGGACCTTGGATACAAGGCACACTGCTAAAACATGCCTTTTACCCCCCTTAAAAAATTCTCCTGTCCCAGCTAAGGTATTTGTAACAGCTACTGTGTACCTGCAGGGAGTAATTTTTATTAAAAGTTGATCTTTTCAAGGTGATATGCTAAAATGTATGCAGTCTGCCCAAAGCAATATGCTCTCATAATGACATTGCTGGGTTAGAACAGAAAATGAAAGAACTAAGAATCACCTTAACTCTTTCTCCATCCACAGTAGAAGGCAAGTGGGAATAACCGAGCATGTCAAATGGCAAAAGCTCACAAGGAGACAAAGGGACTTTGAGAACGCAGTGCAATGCAGTGATGAATATCCTTTGGAGAACTGATTGGCTCAATGTGGATTTAAAGCTTCACTGTTCTAGTGACTCTTTGATGAATAAGAAAATTTAATGCTTTTAGAAAGGTGTAATTCAGGGCAAGAGAGTTTGGATCCCAACTGCAATTCTCCAAAGTTCAGGACCATCTTGGTTCAGGGTAACTGCGTATCTAAATGTCTTTGGCACAAAGGGGAAGAAAGAAGAGACACCTATTTAACCTCTGCTCTAGCATTGCAGGAGTTGCACCTGGGCACAGAAACAAGTGACTGAAACCTGTGAGCAGATCCACTTTTGATTCAAGCCAACTCATCACCATTTGGGAAAACACTCTGGGAAACTACTTATACTAATGATCTCAGAGTAACTGGTAATGTAATTCAAACCACCCTAGACATTTGTACACAGAAGAGTAATCAATACCGAGAACAGTGTTTCAGTTCTACCAATTGAACAATGGTGCTGCAAGCAGAGAGACCGCGTGCATCAGCGTGATTCAGCTCTGAGCAGGCCTGATTCCCCCAAGACAGACTGCCAGCAACAGCATTGGAGGGGGAGCTGAAAAGGAGCTGGCAAGGTAGCCTGACTATACGCAGACGTGTTATTCCAGGGCAAGTGATGAGGTCCCGACTGCCAAGGCTGAGATGCCCAGCAGAAACGAGTTATCCTGGGTGCCAAGGAATCCACTTTTATTCACAACTTACATCCATTCAGAGAGCTGCACTCTCCTGACTTGCTGCCAGCACCCATTTCTTGCACCCCTGCCCTGGGCTCACCCCAGCCTGCGAGGCTCCTGAGAACCTCACCTAGTCTTTGCCAGTCATACATTTCAGTTTTTCACCCTCGTACACCGCAGAGCATCTGTAAGTAGTGGGAAAGCCCCCTCATTACCACTTGAAACTCTGCTTTGCACTGATGCCTGCAAGTACCCTGACGCTGGTAGGAAGCTTCTGTGGTGAGTCCAACACTCATTTTGCTGTCTGCTATTGTTGGCACCATGTTTCTTGTCCGGCCTGTGGCTCCTTCCTTGGCCTTTCAAAGTACAGCTGCTTGGGGCAGAGGTTATCTTTTTGCACAGACTGCTCAACAGAACAGGCTCTCTGGTGCTGGGGAGCCCTGAACCACTGCTACAAACACAAACTACACCATCGTACCCTGCTTAACTGCATATAAGGCTTGGGCACGGGAGAAGAGAGAAAAGCCTTTCACTGCCACGCTTCAGAAAGAGGTGGGGTACGCGGGTGGTCTGCAAAATTCCAAGTATTTCCTTGGCTGGTATCTTTGTGGGAAAATTGCAGCCAAGACTGTGATTTCTGTGGAAGATTATTAATGTTTGTTCTGAACGAAGAGACAGTGCAGAGGAGGGTTGATAGGCTGCAGATCCAATTGCTTCAGGCAACTGTGCCTGCCCTGCGCTGTTAATTGCACCACTATAAACCTGATTAGATGCCATAAAATATTGTGTGGTACAGTTCTAGATATATTCTGTCATATCGGCTCAAAATTGCAGACCACTGCGTGGGGACATAAATTCATGAAACGCAAAAGAACAGCCAATTTTGCTTTATGAGATGCTGTACCCCGAGCCCCAGCTTGGCACCCGGCGGTGCTGCTGCTCTCATTAGCAGCCTCAGAAGAAGGAGAAACACCAGCTGAGAAATGCATGGTCTTCTAACCCTGCTGGGGTTGCCTCAGGGAGCCAGGATTGAAGAATATGGCTCTTTTCTGGCTTGTATCCATCAATCAGACCTTCAATCAGTAAGTACAATCACAGCTCTTGGAAACTCCCATCTCTTCCTCCCCACCCGGCTCTCTGCTGGAGCAGTAAGCACTACTGAATCCCAAGGGTGCAGTGTTCATCCCTGAAAACAGTGCCCTGCATTTCTAAAAAGCTTAAAAAGCAGAAATTTCATCAAGTAGAACCATTCCGACTTCCCCTCTGAGACATACCTGCCTTGTCGACTACCACGAAGTCTGAATCTGTTCCTCTAACTGATGTCTGGGCACTCTGTAACATGTCAGACTACAGGAGGTTCTGAGCACACCAAGTAACACCATCTTATTGGTATTTTATCTAAAGCCCAAGTGAATTAGCCCACGACAGGCTCCCTTTTATTGCATTTTGGATCCTGCTCTGGCTATGGCCCAAGTCCAGTCCATTAGCCAATTCCCATGGAAATGTCTGAAAGCAACCACACAGGTTCTTCATGGGCCCACCAAGGCAGAACACAAGCAGAGAGCTATGAGGTCTGTCTCTACCAGGGCAGTAGTGTACCTTCTCCAGCTTTGTGCTGATCCTGACAGGTCTGAGAAGAGGTCAGGCAAGTCAGATAAGGCCCAACAGAGAGCATCACCTCTGTCTTTCACACGCTCACGTAGCTCTCCTCAACATGCAGTTTTGAGTAAATGTCCCTTCAGCAACAGTTCATAGCAGACATCTTCTCTACAAGACAGACAGGCTGCTCGATGCTTTTGACACCTCAGGCGCTCAGCTAGCTCTGGGACCATGAGACCCAGAAGAATGCTGGGTGCAAGTCCTGGACTGTAAGAAGTCATTGCATGAGGAGCTACAGACCCTCTGCTTAACTCTTAATGCCCTCACGAACTTCCTCCTGATCCTCTGCTCCCTGCGCTCACTCCTGCAGAGCCAAATTGATCCTGGGAGCCTGGATGTATTTGCAAAGGAAATCTCACTCGGCTCTTGCAACCCCAAAGCAGGGAACATGTTTATTCCATGTGCATGCAACAGGCACAAGTGAGTCGGCAAGAAGGACTCCCCGTGTGCAGGATTTGAGCAAAGTTCAGACGGAAGGTCTTCCAAGGATAACATTGCCCTTGCCTCTATGCAGCAGAAGCAACAGTCAGTTTTCAGATGCTATCTCGGGCACTTTTCCAAGGGACAGCAGAAACACCTATTATCAGAACTAGTGCCCTGCTTCAAGACATAGGAATGCTTACTGGAATGGCTACAGAGATACTTGGGCAAAAAACCACCTCTCTCTCTTTAGCCCCGTTCTTGGAAGGGAATGAACCACTTCAGCTGAAATTTTAAAAGCCCAGTTTGAAGCACGGAAAATTTCAGTTCTAATAGCATAGATTTGTCAAAGGCATACCCAGCTGAAACAGAGCAATATAATGGGACATGTTAAGCAATCTTAATTGTAAGTGAACACTGCCAAAACCGCCTGTGAATACAAGATGCACCCAGCTGGGTCCTGTGTCTCTGTTCTCCTGCCTGGTAATAAGAGCAATGTCTCCAGGCTCTCGGTTTTGGATGATCTGTCATTAATAACAAAGCTCCATTAACCAAACTAGAAGGGACAGACTAAGAGAACACGACAAAAACAGACTAAGAGAACATGACAAAAACAAAAAACAACCAGAAGACAGAGGTTGTGGGGGAGATTTTGTTGACCTACCTTGGCAAGTGTGGTTGTCTTCTGACAGAACAAGTCCCCTCGGACATTCACATTGGTATGTGTCTTCCACTTCAATACAGGTATGGCTGCAGCCTCCATTGTTATTGTGACAGCCTTCAATTTCTGCAAAAGAAAGGAAAATCAGTACACCCTGCTCCTAAGGCAGCTGCGTGACAGCTACGCAGGCCCCGACATATACTCCTGGCTGACTAACAACAGCATGACCAACACAAAGCTTGAAGGCAACAGCATGGTGAGAGCTTGCTTCCAAGAAAATGCGGTGGAAACCTATTTTTAATTGAACAATTTCCAGTGTTTGTTATTTCACTGTGAAGTTAACAAGGAATTCTGTGAAAAAGCTTACCAAGTTAAATGACATGCTATAACTGGCATACATAAGAAGGCTGAATAGGCAATCTTCAGCTTGGCCCTTTCTAAATTCTGAGACATCCTTTTAAACAAAATTTTTATGCCATTCCTTACTTCAAAAAGGTGGGGGGAAATCCTCTTAGACCTTCTACCATGTGGAACCATACTCACTCCCTTAGTCATCACCAGAATTAAAGCCCTGGGATTTGCAAGGGAGGTGTCTTGTGGTGGACAGACTCGCATGTAGCCACCTCCTATTCCCATCAGGGAACACCAGAGAGAAGATGATGCACTCTTTGCCTGTGGGTTTCCCAGCTGTGATGGAGGTAGGTATAGTGGATTCCTGCATCCCTTTTTGTAGGCTGAGGATGAAACTCTGCTCGTAGGAGTTTGTTTAGCAGGAATTTTGCGAGTTTGTGAGTTTCAGGCTTTGAGGTTGGCTATCCTGAGATGCATTATCACAGGGATAGAACGACACAAGTTCACAGTGTAAGGTCAATTCCCCTCCTAATTTTCCCCCATTCTGAAGTGCAGAGGAGACAGGGCAGCACAGCTAATTGGGGGATTTGTCACGTCTTGTCTTACATCTTTTCTGTTCAGGTGAGGCAATTCTCTAGGGATCTGAGTTTTTGTGTAAAACATGTTCCGAATGACTACAGCTGCAGAAGAGCCTGAAAGGTCATCCAAATACATCCTGAAGATTTGAAAATCTAAGGCAAGTAAGGCCATTTCCAGTTGGTTTTGGCTTTCTATTAGAAAGAAAATAACAGAGTATAATGATTTAAAAAAAAAAACCAAAAACAACCATTGCTTTTTTTTTAAACCTTTTAGCATGAATATTGCTAGATGTTCTCAGTAAAACAACAGTACATACAATATAAAGAAATCAAACAGAAAATGCTTCTCCCTAAGCTTGCCATCAGAAATGACTGTGTGGTTTTCACTGAAATGTAAAGAAAATAATGGAAATCCCATACTCAATCCTACAAATTACTTGGAAAACAACAGCCTGAACACGCCACATGAGTCAAAGTAATGGGTAAAGCATTACAAGGGAAATTTTGAGACACTCCTAACCCTACTCAGCCTCACCAGCTCATGTAATCAAACTAAATCTCCTGCATTTGCTGAAAGCAACAGCTGTGAGGTGGCTCACAAGTAAATCACATACTCTAATGGCTCACAAAACTAAGGACACATCTTTAGAAATAAAACTCACTAACAAGATTGTAAAAATCCCCAGCAGCAGTGTTAAACTTCTGAAAAGCACCATCTTTTTTACAGAAGTGGAAGTTAAAATCATGTATCAAAAGGCCCTTAAATCCAACTTTGGGAATGACAGAAACAAATGAGTTTCCAAGCACAGACTATTCCAGCCCTGTCAGAAGAGCTCAGGAATAAAAACTGCCACGTAGCACAGCTGGTTTACGTGACACCCCACCAGCTCAGTGCTGGATGTGGAAGGGACAAAGCCCACAGATCATTTTTTGGCCCTAGACAACTTAACAAGTACTTAAGGAGCACTCTGCACAGCAGCTTTCCCCAGGGAAGTGTCAGTGTCTGGATGAGTGATGTTTTATTAACAGAGCTCGGAGAGGAGATTTTCACAAGTGTCAGATGAAACGTGTTTTGGTATCAAAGAAGGGGAAAAACAGGGACAAAAACTGCAGCTTGGAGCCAGCTGTCAGTGAACCATAAAGAAGGGTGGAGTCCAGCCCAAAAACACAATGTCAATCCCTCTCTTTCCATGCACCAGGGATGTCTGCTATGCAGCAGCTAATGTACGGTTGCATGCAGGCTGCAGATGTATTCAGTTCTGGCAACTGGGTAGCTCGAAAGTGAGGCACATCTGTAGCTATTATCCTTGTCTGAAGCCACACAGTATCTGTGAACATACAACAGATCAGCTTTGTCTGCGAGGGGACACATTGCTCTTCACAGCTGACCACAGAAAACATCATGCACAAGTCCAGTTTTGCTGGGTGTTCGTATTTCTGCTCAAAGATGTTTGTACATTGTTAGGGACAACAGGTCAAACCTACAATTTTGTCTTTAAGCCCCTGCTAAGCTAACAGTCTAAACTTATCAAGGGTTTTCAACCTGGCCGTGCCACCACTGGGAAGTAACTGTAGCAGCTGCACACAGCAGAGCCCACAACTAAGCACGTAACAAAAAAAAAAAAAAAAAAAGGCAAAGAGTCAAAATGGATGGAGCCCTAATCTCAAATCCAGCTTCTGGTTACAGAGTGGCACCCCCTCTCCTCCATCTCTAGCCTGGGAGGCTAAGTGATCCTCATACTCTCGTCTAATGTCATGACAGGACCCCACACCTAATGCTAGCTGTCAAAACCCAGCAGTGCTAGACCTACCCCTGCACAACTATCATGGAAGTCTCCAGAGCCAAATCCCAGCATCTCCAGCAATAACTAGTTCTGTCTGGACAACCAATCTTCCAGATCAACTGCTGCCTCTCCTCGCATGCAGATAAATACAAGCAAATCCTAACAGAAATGAACAAGGAAGGGAGAACAAGGAGACTCCTCTCTGCTTTATTAGAAGGGTATTTCAGTAACAACCCCACTGGCAAGCACAGAAGTGATACGAGTGACATTTAATCCCAGCTGCAAGGAGCCAAGGGAGAACTAGCGCTGCAAGGGAAGGGGAGTGACTTGTATCGTTTCCAGCAGACTGTGATAGCCAAAACCTCACCTTCACAGGTTTTCCCGTCACTTCCCAGTGTGCGCCCGATCCCACACTCGCAGCGGTAGGAGTTCTTCAGGTTAACACAAAATTCACTGCAGCCTCCATTGTTCTGCTCACATTCATTTTCATCTGGAAAAAAAACAAAAAACAAACCACACTATCATAACACGCTCCTGGTAAACACACTGCTGGCAAAAAGAAACTGCTATCATGGGAGCGCTGGGGTTGGATTGGGACCATGGACTGGCTTTCCTGGCCTCATGACCTGGATCAGTGCAACAGAGATGAGTAAACCCCACTAAATGCTAAAGACCACTATCTGTTGACAGGAGCAGAGTGTTTTGCCGCGCTGTGTCCACCTCAGGAACAAAGCAGACAGGAGGGGCAAGACAGCATGCACGCAGCAGCCATTTTGGAGTGAAGATGGACGCAGTCCCACTGGGAAACTTCCAAACTGGTTCCACGCGCTGGGGAGTTCATGTTTTCATTTATCTTCTCATTCTAAACTCTGCTCCACTCCACTCAAAAATACATTAAAATGGAGTTAACATGACTTCACTGCATAGTAAAACTAGATGACTACCAGAATCGGTCAAAAATAAACCCTATCTATTTTTGTATCACACCTGCTACTGCTACACATGGCCAACTACCCTACAGCAATTTTAAATGATTCAACCTTTATTTCAAAAAAAAAAAGACAGAAGAATGAAAAACAGCTGTAAACATAAACAAAGCTCAATCAAACCAAAACATTTTAATAAATACTAGGAAGCTTCCCCAAGAAAAGTCATGTCATGAGAAATTTCATAATTTTGGTTTCTTGAACCAGCTCTGGCTGCTCCCTGCCCTGGAAAGCTCAGGTGTTCCTGCAGAACAGAAACGTCAGCTCATCATGGTGAGACCTAACCTGGGTGCTGGTGCCACACACGCCACCACAACCGTTAGCTGCTTAGACACTCCGTACCAAAGATGAAACAAAGAGCTCAGTTCCTCACTGCCATATGACAGCCCTCCCTCCTCTGCCCTGCTACTCTATAGCCCTCCACAGAGCTGTGGCACCTACCTTTCCAGCTCAGAAGAGAAGTGCCTGAGCTGGCATCCCACACTTTCAGGAGCGGACTTGATAATGGTTGCAGAATAACCTTGTAATGGGCCTGGACTGAGGTTTTTATAACCTAAAGCAATATACCCACAAATAGTACCTGTGTCACATTTCTGTGCTGGCTGCATTCAGCTCTACATTAGAGCCCTCCCGGGTGCTGAGGGTATTTACTGAGGAAAAAGCACAGCAGATGCTTTTGAATCTCTTGCTAAAGCTCTGAAAACTCCTCCTAATTTTCTCTGTTTGAAAGACTAAAGTTCCTCTATGCCTGGCTGTTGTTTTTTTTTCTTTTTGAAACTTACTTCGTTCTCTGAGATTCTCATTCTTCAACCTGATTTAATCTCTGCATGCAAAAAGCAAATCAAATAGAAAGGAAAGACAGCCATTGCTATCGCTGAGCCACAAAACTAACAATTTCTCAAAGGCAGGCCAGAATGCCGAGGATATCAATCAAGGTT